AAGATTTTGTTTAGATGCCTACTTAATTTGTTTTCTCTTGAAAAAAAGTTATGACTCTGGGAAGCAAAGCAGATGGAAGCATTCGAGAGCTCAAGGATAAGTGGGTACTTGTACCTGCTTTTCTACAGGCTAGTTTTTTTCTTTTACAGATGTTGTTGAAGCTGGTTCAAGTCTAATAACTGTATTTGCGAGCGTATTACTCCTTGATTTTCTATAGGTTCGTGGGCTGGTGAAGCAGCATATTGCAAGTTTTGATTATTTTGTAAATGAGGATATAAAAAACATAATGCGAGCAAATGAACGGGTTACTAGTGATGCTAATCAATCGTTTTATCTCAAGTAATTGTTATTAAATTGATTTTTTATGAAGTCTGGTTCCTTCTTGTCCTTGACGCGTCACTTGAAACAGAAGTTTTCAGATACCTAGACATATCTGTCGGAATGCCTTCAAGCGAGGAAGGGTTTGAAACGAATGATAGAATAAGCCCACACGAGTGTCGTTTGCGTGACATGACTTATTCTGCTCCTATTAAAGTGGATGTGGAGTATACAAGAGGGAATCAACGCGTTTTACGCAGTGGTATTGTCATCGGTAGGATGCCTATTATGCTACGATCAAGCCGTTGCATTCTAAAAAACATGGTATTTTTTTCCTATAATATTATTATGGTAAGTTTTTTGTAAGGGATAAGGTTGTGATGATACCTGATATTTTTTCATTCATTCAGACTGAAGAGGAGCTCGCAAAAGTTCAAGAATGTCCTTATGATCCTGGAGGTTATTTTATCGTTCGTGGCTCTGAAAAAGTTGTCTTGATTCAAGAGCAACTGTCGAAGAATCGTATAATGATTGGAAGGAACAGCAAAAAGGAACTACAGTGTGAGGTTGCTTTATGCATTGATTTATTAATTTTTCTTTTATTTTTAGCATTGTTTCAATTTATTACTACAGTTGATCTTATTACTTGAGTAATGCATGTTTTCTTCCTTTGGAAAGTTTCAGTTTTTTTCTCAGACTGTTGAGTCTGTTTATTAAGGTTATGAGTTCGTCTTCTGATCGGAAAAGTAAAACCTATGTAATATCAAAAAGGCAGAGGTATTATCTGAAACATAATCAGTTGACCGATGATATACCAATCGCCATTATCTTTAAGGCCTGTTCCTAATTTTTTCCACAACATGTTAATTGTTTGAGCCTACTCTAGTTTTACAGAGACAAGAAGACTTTGAAACTCGACATAAATATTTATAGCAGCTTTTTAGGCCATGGGCTTTGAGTCAGACTACGACATAGTTTGTGCAGTGGGTTGCGAAGAAAAATTTGTTGCTGCTATGGCTCCTTCCATTGAAGAGTGTGCTAGCCACCAGATAGTTACCCAAGAAAATGCTCTTGCCTATGTTGCATCCAAGGTTGTCATTTCTCATCATATTTTCTGGTCTCAAAATTTAACTTTAGATGTATTTTTAATTTAGTAAACAGATGAGTGAAAAATGCCGAATCGTCTGAAGTATGATTTGGTATCTGATCAACTTTTTAGAAAGTTATGAATTGCTTTGGACGGTTCGGAGAACTATTTTGTTTTGGCATATAGTTGTACTATATGGTTTATTGCTAACAGGTTTCAAAGCAGTTATAAAATATGACAAGTATGTTATATTGTGACCTATAGGTCCATAGTCTGTATTCGGAATGTCTTTCCTTTCGCTTAGGGTACATATTTTTCAAATATTTCTCGTAATTTCTTGTTAACTGCTATTTCAATTTTAGATAAATGCAAGAAAATTTGCTTTTGGAGGTCCTAATGAAGCACCTTCTTTAACTTCTGGACCACTGAAGCGAGAACATGAAGCTATCGATTTTCTTACTAATTTGATGGTTTGCCATATTTCGAGTGGCGATGGTAATATGAAGATGAAGGCAATTTACATAGGATTAATGGTTAGAAGGTGATCTGCACTTTTGCTCACTCAGAAAAAATGTGGGCTGAGAAGTCAGTTTTTGAATACGTCTGAATTTTCTAGGTTAATACAAGCTGAATTGGGCGACGTAGAATGCGACGACCGTGACTTTTATGGCAATAAAAGACTCGAGCTTGCAGGCTCTTTGTTAGGGCTGCTTTTTGAAGATGTCTTCAAGAGGTTTTTTTAAGCGTTTTTTGTTTTATCATATGGTTAATTTTTCTAGATTAAGGCATGAATTTCAGATTTAACTCAGAATTGAAGAGGAAGGCTGATAGTGGTTTCACTCATAACAGGGCTGCTTCACTGGACATTGTTAAATGCATGCAGCAGGTTTAGTTTATGTAACTATTGGACTTTCTTTGTTTTAGTACATTTTTTTTTGGGAATTTTGTGATTCAGTTCCTTTACTTCAGTCATTCGCTGTCTATTACTTTGAAGTTTGGTGATATGACAGCTTCTTACTTTTACCGTTGTTAAACAAGTAGTTTATAGGACTTGATTACTAACGCTTTGGTTAATGCACTTTCTAGTGGCAACTGGATCATCAAACGTTTTAAGATGGAGAGGCATGGAGTTACACAGGTCATTTGATGGGTTTTCTTGAGCAGCCGTTAAAAACATTTTTCACGATTTTCCTTTTTCGCTTTTCCGTTTACATCAAGTGACCATCTTGAAAGAAGCTATGTGACTAGGAGTAGTTTTCAATAAATTTTAGGTTTTATCCCGTTTATCATATATATCTGTCCTTGGCATGATGACTAGAATAAATTCAACCTTTGAGAAGACCCGAAAAGTAAGTTTCAGAGGCAAAATAAAGAAACAGAATTTTCGTCATTTAGCATATGCTTTTTAGGCTACCGTAGTGGAATTTTTTAACTTTTAGAAACGACTGTAAGTGATCCTAAGTCATTGTTGTCTTACTTTAAAACTTTTATAGGTTTCGGGACCGCGTTCACTGCAGCCATCTCAGTGGGGGATGTTGTGTCCTTCTGATACTCCAGAGGGTGAGTCATGTGGATTGGTAAAGAATCTCGCTTTAATAAGTCATATCACAACAGACAGTGATGAACGGGTATATATTTGTTTTTTTAACACTAGAGTATTTGGTGTCTTGGGAGGACTAAACGGATCTTGGCTGTCTTGAAGTGGCTGGAATTTGAAAGTGTCTATTTTTCTTATTACTTCAGAAACGAACTTTATTGAAATTTTAAAAATGAAATAATTTTCAGCCAGTTTTGCGACTGCTGTATAATGCTGGAGTTGAAAACTTACAGTCGCTTCATTTTTCTGTAATTCATAATCCGTGAGTGTTTCATTTTTTTAATTCAAAATAACAAGTTGTGCCACTTTTTTTATAATTTACTTATAACCCACTTACTGGTAGATGCGAAAAATGTCTCCTCTTATGACAAGCATTTGCTGCTGGATGTGTAAGCATTTAGCTTGTTTAGCTCAACAGTACTTTTAGATTTACGCTTTTAGGAAATATCATATCGTGTTTTTAAATGGCGCGATAGTTGGACTAACGAATGACCCCCAACGCATTGTATCCACCATTCGCGCAGTACGGCGTAATGGCCTTCTAAATGAATTTGTCTCAGTGTCGACAAATGCTGCATTAAGATCAGTTTATATAGCCAGTGATGGTGGTCGATTGTGTAGACCTTATATAATTGTTACTGATGGACGCCCACACGTAACTCAGAATGACCTAGAGGTTGTGTTTTGTAGCTTTCTTTATTGGAAATTGTTGCTGGTTTGATCGCTTTGTGGTTTAGGAATTGAAGAAGGGACATAGAATTTTTGAGGATTTCGTTGATGATGGTCTTATTGAATACTTGGATGTTAATGAAATGAATGATGCTTCGATTGCAGTTTATGAGAACGAAATTAAACCGAATACTACACATCTAGAGGTATTTGTGTCTTGTGATTTTAGTTGAGAGAAGCTGTTGTATTTTACGTATGTAGCATTTGTAACAGATTGAACCGTTGACGCTTCTGGGTGTTTGTGCTGGTTTAATTCCATATCCGCATCATAATCAAAGTCCAAGAAATACTTATCAGTGCGCAATGGGTAAGCAAGCTATGGGCACAATTGGTTACAATCAACAAAAGCGTATCGATTCTCTGATGTATTTAATGGTTTATCCCCAACGTCCATTAGTCAAAACTAAGGTGCTCTCTGCAGCTTCTTCAAATTCCTTATATTTCCTTCTTAGCATTTGAAGTTTTTTTCTGATTTTTGTTCGTTTTACTTCCTTCGGCCTACCTTAAGTATTGATTTTAATAGTACTTAGAGGTCACCATATTTCAGACACTCAACTTTTTCAGCTGATTGCGCAAATTTTTCTTGGATTTGCGTTATTGGTAGAGTCAAGCAGTGGTTTTCTTTTAGCGAAAGAACAGTTTAGGAGTTGATATTATTTTCGGATTATATCTCTTTTAAAGGCATAAGATTTTAGGTTTTTGCTGTGTTAGGTGCGATTTGAAACTTTATTGTTTGGTCATGAATCAGCAAAATTAGATAGATATGAGCTTATATAGAAATTTATAAATTCTATTTCGTACCATTTATATTCTGTCGTAAGGCGTTGAGACGGAACAGATAATAAATTCAAAATTTTTTGCTGTATTAGAGTGTGATTTAGCAGAAAGTGAGGTTAACTTCTTTTTAATTTTTGGATTTGACGTACTCCTTGATCGAGTCTACAGAAATTCTGGAAAAAAAGTATGTGCTTTGACGCGAAATTATTTTATGCAATTGAGTTTTAGACCATCGAGTTCTGTAACTTTGAGAAGTTACCTGCGGGGCAAAACGCGATTATTGCCGTGATGTCGTACAGCGGCTACGATATTGAAGACGCATTAGTATTAAATAAAGCCTCTTTAGATAGAGGTAGGTAAAATGAAGGGGCTTTTGGTCTTCCATTTTTGGTTTATTATAGTTTTCTAAAAGTGTCTTAGCGATTTTGTTTCGTCTTTTTGAACATTACCCTGAATGGGGACGTAGGTGCTGATCTCTATCTTTAATTCATCGACTTCATTTCGAACAAATTACACCAAGCATGAAAAAGGAATAATTAAAGGCTATGGAAGATGTTTGGTTTATAAGCATGCGAAAGGAACAGCAAAAAAATATCCTAATCAAACTTTTGACCGCTTGATGGGACCGACATTGGATGCAGCAACCCGTAAGCCAATTTTCAAGCATCGTGTTTTGGACCAAGAAGGCATTGTTTATGCTGGGGCACGCATATATTCGAAACAAGTATTGAACTTGAACTAAAATTATTGTTAACTTTCCTGTGTCGTTCAGTTTTAGACTCATCTTTTTAAAAATTTTATAATATTTTTTTTTATGTAGCTTAATAAAGGTGTCTTTTTAAGGTGATGATAAATAAACATATGCCAATAATCAGTTCTGAAGCCGGTGCGCCATCGGCTCCCGGAGTTAGCATTATGCAAGGCTCTCGCAATGTGGAATACAAGGACGTTTCTGTTACGTATCGTACGGCTACTCCGTCGTATGCTGAAAGTGTCTTGTTAACATATAATGAAGACGATGCGCATCTTATAAAAATTCGTTTGCGTCAAACCAGGTTGGAACTGAAGCAGTAATTCAAAAAACAGAGTTTCTTCTGTCATAATTATTTATTTTGAACTTGTTATCTGTTACAACTTTTATATGCAAGTCGATTTTAATGTATCCTTTAGGAGACCAGAATTAGGCGATAAATTTAGTAGCAGACATGGTCAGAAAGGGGTTTGCGGTTTGATTGCGCAACAGGTATCTTTTTCTGATAGTTTTCTGCAACCTGGAAGAATTTTTTACTTTTTATTGCTCTTACAAAACTTTTTGGGGCATCTCCTTGTTGTCTTAATCTTAAGTAAGTCTTCAGGAGGATATGCCCTTCAATGATCTCGGCATGTGTCCTGACATTATAATGAATCCACATGGCTATCCTAGTCGTATGACTGTCGGGAAGCTTATGGAACTCCTTAGCGGGAAGAACGCTATTTTAACGGGGCGTTTTCATTACGGCACGGCTTTTGGAGGAGATCAGGTTTAACTTCTTTTTCTTCTGTTGGCGTCCATTAAGTACTGCATATTGGGTTCCGCCTCATCCACTTTTACCTTAAAATTTCAATGTGGTATGTCTATAGGTTGCTGATGTTTGCGAGGAACTGGCGGCTAGAGGTTTCAATTTCATGGGCAAAGACATGCTTACTTCAGGGATTACTGGACAACAACTTTCAGCTTACATTTACTTTGGTCCTATATATTATCAAAAGTTGAAACACATGGTGTTGGACAAAATGCATGCTAGAGCTAGAGGCCCCAGGTTTGTTAACTTTACATAAATTATTTAAAATAAGTCTTTCACTTTTAGTTTTTGGAACTATCGTTTCCTTTTGTAGTTTATCAAGTAGCTGCGTGGAAACGCTGCTCACATTTAGAAGTTCAATGTGGAAGACATATATATAATTTTTTGAGTTTTGCTGCAGTTTCTCTTTTTTACTAATTCTGGTTGCATTGGTGAGGTCTTGGCGAGTTTATTTTGATAACTATGTAATATTAAATTGTTTTAGAGCTGTTTTGACTCGACAGCCTACGGAAGGTAGGGCGCGAGATGGCGGTCTTCGACTAGGAGAAATGGAGCGAGACTGCTTGATTGCTTACGGGGCTAGCATGTTACTTATGGAACGTTTGATGGTGTCGTCAGATGAGTTTCAAGTGAGTTGACCGGTTGTACTTATCCCAGAGGAACTACCACAGAATTTGTATTGAAGTTTTTGAGTTTTGCAAGATTGAAAGGCGGATAGTGTCGAGATCAGAGCAGATTGATAAAGTCGATATTTTCAACCGATGACTTTTAGGTTGATGTTTGCTCAAAATGTGGAATAATAGGATACAAAGGCTGGTGCCAATACTGTCGTTCGTCAAGAACTATGGCCACAATCAAAATACCGTATGCTTGTAAACTTTTGTTCCAGGAGCTACAGTCTATGAATATTGTGCCTAAGATTAGTTTATCAAAATATACAGATTGAAGAGTTTTTTATTCTAAAAAATTGCTATATAAAGATAGTATTACTTAGAATTTATCTGTATATGTAACAAGGTATTTACGTAGGTTGTTGTATGGAATTGACGAAAGCTAACTAAGGGTATTTCTTTGCTTTTGGTAATTGGTGTGAACATTCAAAAGCTCTTTAAAGAAGTTTTTTGGTTCATCGTTTTTGTTAAGTTGCTAAGCAATGATTACTGTTTTTGTTGTTTTGCTGCGTTTTAGCAGTGCTTTAAATAGCGGTTAAACCTGCTCAGTTGGCGAAAGTTTTTGTAACAGTTGTTGACCGCAATGCATAATTCCGTCCAAAATTTTAAACTGGAATGGTGAAATTAGCAGTAGTGCGAAGTTTATCTTGAAGTCGTGTAATAGTATTTTAAGTGAGCTTTTTAGGTGGATAGAGTTTAGGGCTTCTTCTTAAAGGGTTGGAATTTTCTGCGCGAGGTTTTCTAATTTTTCACTTGTATTTGAAATATGGGGTCATTGAGGAAAATTACTTCTTTTAATTCGCTGGGACCAAGTCAGGTGAAATATCTTTTATCTGAATCAATAAATTTCTTCTTGACTAGGAGTTGCAATTTGGTTTTCCGAACAAATTAATTAATACTTAATTTAACATATCCGAAGTCTGAAGGTCAGTGCATGAAGTTCTTTATTAGCGTTACCAGGTAGTAGATCATCATTTTTCTGTGATTGAACGGTTACAAACAAGATGTTTAAAAGGACCAGCAGACAAGACTTCCAATTATGTTTTGCTTTCAGGCATTTTCTTTCGACAATTAATTACTGATATTAATGCTTGTCATCGAAAATGAAGGTCTAAAAAGACTATGATACAGCTTTTTGGAAAGGAGTGCTGACATACGAAATTGCTGAGGATATAAAATTTGAAGCTTTTTCGGAGTTGTGCCTTTTACAGTTGAAACATCGGTGACGATAAATTGAGTCCCCTGCGGTTGTTTCTTCGTGGGCGGTCAGTCATACGAGTTATTGCTCATTAATTCACATTACTTCGGGTCGATGTTCAGGTTTATCGCAAATTTGGGCAAGCAGCAGGCCTTGGTGCTGAGTAGGAAGAGTGGAGTTTATTTCTCACGGCACAGCACTTCCTCACAAAAAGCTTTTCATGTTTAAATCCTTTTTGGCAATTTGAAAGTCCAACGTTTTCTAAAGGAATTAAAGTCGGAGGTTCATGAAGAAGTGGTTTTTCTCTTTTATAGTGAATGTTACAGAAGAAGGCAGAAACTGGATGGAACTAAAGAACTTATCTTGTGAAAATAGAGGAAAATGAGGAGATTCTTACACATTTAGCTAAGTATTTCGAAGATCTGTAGTCATTTAAACCTACCAGAAGCGGGTTACTTTAAAATGCCGGAAATAAATTGATTTAAACAGTAAGCAACAAAGCAGATTAATGGGATGATATGGGCAGAAACCTTCAGAGAACTTTATTTCCCCTCGTAAAAGTTTTTACTAGTTTCAAAAGATCTGCTTGAAATTAATTGGAGCAACACAATTAAAGATATCTCTTCATTGTACTGTGAACCGTCAGGAGTGCAACGCAACGAAAATTTAAAAATTTTATGAACACCGCTTAAATTAGGTGCTAAAAAACTGGAAGGCCTTACTACACTTGGTACAGAGGAATTGAACGTCTGTGGCCAAGGATATCGTATTGTAACCGAAAAATAGTCGGAACTATGGAGCGTTTGAACAGCCGCAAACAGATAATTTCCGAGGCAGATAACTCATTCAAGGGATAGAGGGTGAAAATGCAGTAGTATTTTCGTGCTAAATGACTTAAGCATGAAGCTGAAGACTCTGTTGCTTGAATGTGTTATAATTGCTTTGCATAACTCAATTATTTTAGGGTGGTGCCTGGTTTGGATATGAAGCTCGCAACACAGATCGGATAGCCAATAACTCACTAAGATGCTCAGCAAAATTTGTATGACTTCTACTCGAGGAAAAGCTGTGTAAAAAGTGTGTTTTAAAGTGTGAGCTGTTAGAGTTATAAGGCATTAAAAAAGCGGCAAATGTGCCGATAGTTTCAGAGTTAAAAATCGTGCATATTACCTTGTATTATTGTGACAGGTAATATACTACCTGCTTATACTATTTGCTTGTTAATTTCTTAATTATTTACACGAAAGAGTGAAGGGTTTTTAAAGCAGACGCGACATAAGCTTATAGCACAGTTTTTCCGATATCGTCAGAAACTTCTGGGCTTTAGTTTGTTTTTATTACAAAAAGTTTCGCTCAGTCTTTTAGATCTTAATTATTAAACGTTGAACAAGTGTACAAACGAGAATTCAAAAGCTACTTTTCTGGTACAATCAGTCTAGTGAAAATAAATGGCGCTTTGCTTAGTGTCCTTACCAAACATTTGGGTCATACGAAAAGTGACATCGTTGTACTCCACAAAATTTTCAAAATTTTTCTGTAGACCGTTTGCTTTGTGGCTTGGTATCTTTTGCAACGGCAAATAAACCAGACGGACTAGACTTTTACACGAATCAATACAAAATGGACTGGGGAGTTCAGCCAATGCAAATTGATTAAATGAAAAAGGTTTTTGCGCAACAAAAGAAGGCATTAATTTGTCAGAATTAAAATGGATGACAAAATAAATTGACTCACTACATTTAAAGTCAGCTTGAAATTTTACTGGAGGAACAAAAATTCAACAAATTTGGTTACGTTGTGGCAGTCGTATATACTGATCGTTAACAAAATATTTTTAAAAAAGTCTATTTTTTTTTAATCATATATTACAGGATAAGTTTGCAGAGTTTAACTACATAGGCAAATCAAGAACTTGAAGAAGTTTAGTCTTGTTTATTGGGTAAGACCAACTGGTAAGCAGAAAAAAAAAAAAGTTTTCATTCTTGGATTATTGTTGCCCTGCAGGTAAACGTTTTGAATTGTCAAGGAAAAATTACAAAAACCGTACTTTAAATTTCTTGATTTATAATCTTATCTTATCTCAGTTTGCTGCTTTTAAGTAATTTTTCAATAATGTTATCTCTGCTATATGTTTTATTTCAATAAAAAAATAGATGTTAAAAGTAAAATT